ATGTGTGTGTGTGTGTGTGTGTGTGTGTGTGTGTGTGTGTGTGTGTGTGTGTGTTATATATATATATATATATGGAATGTCGCAGCATCACTCAACAAAAACTGATTAGCTGCGCAATATTTCTCTTATTTAATTTTTATCTCTATGTAAATCCTGTTGAATAACTCCGATTTCTCATTCACGCCTTCCAAGAAACATTTTTTTTAATTTCCCAGAAATTCTAATGAATATACAAATATTATGTCAAATCTGTAACGTCATGTCAATGCTCAAAATCTGAAAATTCACTAAAAAGAGCGTCTTCACTAAAAGGAGCTGAAAGATTTAAGTAATAATTAGTACATTTGTGATAATTCTGCGATGAAAGCTACTTCTCGAACACTCCTCGTAACTCGATGCATTCAGCACGGCCCAATAGGACTCATGTCAGCGCCTTCGATGGCTCGGCTCAAAAAGTAGGTAATTCGAAAAATCTCATGTTACAAATGTATGTCTCAATCTTCTAACTTGAAAAATATATCTACATATTTGCAATTTTATCTAGAAAATACTTATGATACTACCTGCATTCCTTCGTCATGATTGAATGCAGAAAATAGATAGATAAGAAGAAATTGATATTTATTTCATAAAATCAAGCTTTTTATTTTTTTAATAGAGAATTTATTAAGAAAATGGATTGAATTTAGTTTGATGCGTCTCATCTATTTTTATTCTCAATATTTTATCATTATACTGTATTTCTTATATAAAAAAATGTCATTATTTTTTTTTTAATAAATTATTATTACAGTATCCAATATTATACATATATTCCTTAGAAATTTATTTTAATTTTTAATAGATTTAATAGATTTAATAAATATCTAATTGTTTGAATAGTACTAAAACATTTATTTATGGAAAATAAATATTTGCTAAATAAAATATAATAATAAATAAATCAAATTAATGATTTTTATATCAAATAAATATGTTTACATGTAAATATTCAACTGATACTATTCAAACAAATATTTATTAAAATTTAGTACATTTTTCTCACTGCATATAGGCCTAGGTTCTTTTTGGCTTTCTTTCTGAAGAGAAAAGAAAGAAAGATGAACTGCAAAAGTCCAGCCAAAAAGAACAGACCTTATGTCTTAATTATGATATGATTTGATTTTTATAATATTAAGTTATTTAATTTTATTAAAAGGAAAAATGTAAAATAAATATTAAATATATCTAAAGAAATCTCTAAAAAGAATCGAAACGTAAATAAAAAAAAATAGAAACTACATCAAAAAATGTTTAAAGAAATTTTTGAATTTCAAAGCCGTAATAGTTTAAAACTACTTTAATCAAATTTTTTTTATTATCCATTTTCTGCAATCAATAATCGGATAAGATCGGTAAAATAATACTATTATGAGTGAAGGATTTATAACGCGCTTTACTAACATATGTGTGATTATACGATATAAAGGTTTTTTTTTTCAGGATTGTAAATGTTAGAAGCCAGCCGAAGACTGAAATCTTACGTTATCATCTTCTCGAGCCGGTCTATCGATTTGCAGCTACCATGAACGAACTGTCCTGAAAACAACGGGACGTGCGCTCCAATTCCAGTGCAATATCGTTACGAGATCTATTATCGGTAAGTTTTCAAATACGAAGTAAACTATCAGTACGTAATCTCAACTCTACGCCATGAGGACGTTCACTCCCCGCGTATTACTGCGCTTACACTCGACGTTCACCCTCAGACGCCAATCTCCGAGCGGAAGATCCACCACTCGTACACGACATTACGGATGAAACGATGCCGATAGAGAGATAGAGACGTCGGATAAAAACTTCGTGGGAAATTTCGAGCGTAAAGCTTTGAGAACAACGACACTGTTAAAAGGGAGCTCGTGTTCAAAAATCGTGACTATCCCCATGTTATGTATCCCCGCAATATTATTTATAGAATAAATACATAAAACTTTATAGAGAGAGTCTTTTTCGCGAAATACGATGGCGTTCATTTACTAGCGCGAACAGTAACACCACCGTCAATGTCTCTCCCTCGCCCACCCTGTTACCTTGACGTTCTCCTAAAGGAAAGACACTATTATTAAATTCTTATTTGTTCCTAACTGTTCCATGATTCTCATTCGATATCGATCGTCATTCCTCTGATAATTCGAAGATGGCCTTTCGTTTCAACACTTTTTCTTCGTTTCAACACTTCTCGAAGCACCATCTGAAGAGTTAACTTCATGTTCCATCATCTTTCAGTCATTTCTTCAACTTGAACTGGTTTGTTCCGATACTCCTCGAAGCATTTCCACGCTAGACCTAACTATTCCCCCATCGTCTCTCGTCGTTAATTTTGCAGTAACGAGACAATTTTTGCCTATTATTAAATTCTTCATCTTTTTTTCATATAGTTTCTTTAATCTCGGAACTAAAGAACTTTCATTAATATTTCCTTAAAGTTCCATTTTACTATATTATTTCTTCAACATTTCTTCTTCGATAAAGCTGCAATACAATTTGTCACTTAATACTCTTTCAAAATTGTATACTAGAACTAGTGGCTAACTTGTGTATGTATATGTTCCCTCATAGCTCCCTTGTTACTTCATCATTCTGCCAGTTTGGAGCTACAAAGCGACTAATTTCTTTAACACTCCTTCAAATGTAGGCTTTAATACAGTTATCTATCTGTTCACCATTTTATCATCCCTACAGTTTTCTGTCATCTTAATACTGCTATCAAATGTATAATGATGAGATAATCGATTATCTATCCCTTCATCTTTTTACGTTTCTTCATAATCGATTAGCTATCTCTCCATCTTTTTACGTTTCTTCATTCTTGCTTTGACAGTCTAGAATTTTTTTAACTTATCTCTCTTTTTTGTTAATACAACCTACCATTCCTGTTTTTCTTTCTTCATTGTATGATATTCTTCTTCTATAATTTCTTCATTATTTCTTCAGTATTTTGGAACAAATAAATAATTTTTCATTTCTTCATCTTAAACACTATGATTCTTAGATAATTATTTCTTGTTTTCCGTTATATTCCATCTTCATTTCTCATTTCTCTATAAGCTTCCAAATAGACTTATCACCTTGCAACACTTTGAAATAAAATTAAAATTATTCAAAATTATTCTCTTCTTGTCTCATCATTTTGTCTGTTTATTTTTTCATGTTCCTCCAAAAATTTGAAGGCACAAACCGATGTTTCTTCGATATTCCTTTGCAATACTGGAATCGTTAGATAATCATTATGCTCGCCATTCCATTATCTGCGAAGCCTTGTAATAAAAAGATGACACATCACATTGTCATTGGCGCAATCACATAATTTGTTAGTGAGAACATAGAAATTCCGGAAACCAAGCAACTGTCAATATTTGTCATGTTCTAGCACATTCTTTTTCTTCACATGTAGAATAGTTCTTTCACGCGCACTGATCGCGAATTTATCACTTATATCACGTAACGGTATCACATCGTCATTCCAAGGAAGTGTTCTAGTGCGAGAACTTGAGGAACACCTGTTCCAGGGTAGTTTGACTAAAGCTGTATTCTTCAATGTCCAATTCGAGCTTGGCTGCAAGCAAAAATTTTCAAGAAGTTACGAAAATTTCCTTCACAATCAATTTACAATATAAGGCTAAAATTTTCCTAAATCGCGCACGCGGAAACTTTAAAATTCTAATTTCAAGTCTTTCCTTCCTCCCCTCTCTTCTCTCTCTCTCTCTCTCTCTCTCTCTCTCTCTCTCTCTCTCTCTCTCTCTCTCTCTCTCTCAAAGAATCTCTAGATAAACTTTAGTTTCATTTCTTAAACTTTTATTTATTTTATGCTAATGATAAAATTCCAAGTTTAAAATTTTGCAAATTAAAAATTGTGTAATTGCTATTAAGACGCGATATATTCGAAATTGCTACAATTAAAAAAAATTATATTCAAAATATCCAAATTAAAACGTTCCATACTTAAAAATTAATAAAATTATATATTTTTTTCTAATTTCCTTATCTTTTAGTTTTAATGTTCTTTAATATTATGCTTGCATAAAAAAATATCCTTAGATTTTTGTCTTCTTTGGATCTATGACAAGCCGATTATTATTAAATTCGAAGAAAATTCTTCAAACTCTTTAAATCGTCTTCTCACCTTTTTCTAATTGTGTAAAGCACTCAGCCAGCGAGGTCACGGCATGTTGAGGCACGGCAAAAACTAGCCGGTCAGCGAAGCTCTCCTCCAGAGTGGCGTCGGAGAAGAGGCCAGCGACAAATTCCTTCAAGCTGGCAATCCTGTCGCCGGAGGGTGTCGTCGGTGTACAATCGCCGCCTAGTAGCTTCATCTCTAGAGTATAGCCAGCGCCATAGAGATTTTTTAGATGCTGAGTCGAGCCGATGCATCTTAGCTCACCCTTCACCATTATGCCGACTCTTGAACACAGTGCGTCTGCTTCTTCCATGGAATGGGTAGTCAGTATAACTCCCCTGCCTCCCTATTAATCAAAAAGATTTTTAGAAAAAAAATTTCTATATATATATATATTTTTTTATTTCTATAAATATAAATTTATAATTATACTTCTTTTTTATCTAGTTGATAGGAATTTAAAAAAATATATATTATTTGAAAAATCTGTTGAGGGAAAAATAGTTTCAAATTGTAATTTACAGCCTTACCTGGAAACTAGCGAGAATCGTATCCCATAGGAATCTCTTTGATCTGGGATCCATACCCGTGCTTGGTTCATCCATAAGAATCACCTTGGGTCCACTAACCATTGCCATCGCAAAGCTAAGTTTTCTTTTAGTTCCACCAGAACATTCTTGGCTCTGTTTGTCAGCATGTTCGTGAATCTGCAGACCGGTTAAATACTGATCCACGATTCTGCAATACATAATAATTACAAAACAATATTGCATCAATTATACTGGAAATGTTAGTATCAACAGACATGATAGTGTCTCGCGCCAAATGGATATTTTTTTGTCTTTTTTTAAAAAAGTAAATTTGTTATGTTAACTTATACATCAGAAAACTAGGTTGCCATATGAAAAAAGAACTTAATTATAATGCTACAGTAATTTTTGACGCTGCAGTAGAACTGTAATTTTTAAGTATCAAATAGACTTCTTTAAATTCTATTATAATTTAATTGTTTATATGTTTATATGTTATAATTCTATAATAATTAATTGTTTATATAAGTTAATTGTTTATATAAGTTAACTATTATATTCCTAAAAAATTAATTATATTTTATTAGATGAATATTGAAAGAATCGCACCTGTCGACTTCGCTCCATGGAACACCGCGAATCGCGGCATAGCATTCCAGATGCTCTCTTACAGTAATATTCTTCCATTGAGCGTCGTGCTGGGGACAATAACCCATCTGCCGAAAAGCTTCTGTCATGTGGGTGTTAATGTTATGACCGCTAATCTGCACCCTGCCCTTCGTCGGTGCCTCCTCGGCGATGATGATCTTCATTGCCGTGGTCTTGCCGGCACCGTTATGACCTAATAGTCCCAGAACCTCGCCTGGTTCTACTGCTAACGAGAGATTTCGCACAGCAATCTTCCGCTCATCCTCACGCTTTGGACAGCAGGATGATCCTGACTCTTTTTGTCGATATTCCTTTCGCAGATTCTATCATGTGTTTTATGACATGTGAGATAGAACTTTGCATTCCAGTAAAAAAAATTAATTTGAATATTTGCGTTATAAAAATTGCTTTAAGTTAAAACAAACTGCGTTTGTGTAATTAATTTTGTTATAAATATTTTGTTATTAAAAGGATCCCAAAGTCTTTTTTTTTTTTTACCAATTAAATACAATAATTTTCGTAGAATGATATCGTATATTATCACAGACGAGATACTATTAATTAAGACCGACATCCTTACGGATGTCGTAGTAGACGTATTTATGCATTTATAACTCAATAATATTCGATTTTTCTTTAAAATTGCGATTTCAGTGTTATCGTCAAAGTTTGATTATCAACAGAGATGATAACTGCAAAGAAAAAATGTTTCTACAATATATAGGATGTTATAGCTTTACAAGTATGCATATTTATTTATGGAACATTTATGTAATAAAAAAATCATGAATTTAATAATGTATGAGCCAAATATTGTTAATAATAGCAAATTTATATCAATTGTCAGTGTCCTTCAATTATCTCCGAATCCTTGAAGCTCTTTTTATACCATCAAAAATTTGCCCAGGGTCTTTAATATCTTTAGTATTTCGTCGGTGGCATCAGTTTGCTTTTTACTGCATCGAAAATGTCGAAATTTGAGGCAAATAAGTGTCATTTGCGCGAAGTGTTAATCTTTTGTTTCAAATGGAAGAAAACTGAAGCTGAAGCTTTATGGTAATAGTGCTCCTTTCGATAAAACAGGCAGAGATTAGTTTCGACGCTTTAAAAGTGATTTTGATGTGGAGGATAAAGAGTATTCTGGCCAAGAATATTCGAAGATGAAGAATTGTAGGCATTGTGGATGAAGACCCATGTCAAACGCAAAAACAACTTGCAGAAGCATTAAATTGTGCTCAATCTATATCTTATTTCCAATCATTTGAAAGTTTTGGGAAAAGTCTACAAGGAAGGAAAATGAGAAATCCTGTATGAACTGAAGCCAAGAGACATTGAAAGATGAAAAAACCATCTGCGAAATTCTGCTTGCTAAGCAACAAAGAAAGAGGTTTTTACATCGTATCATCACTGGGGATGAAAAATGGATTTACTTTGGCAACTCTAAATGTCGAAAAATCATTTGCGACCCCGGCCAGTCTTTAACATCGATGCCAAAGCGGAATATCTTTGGAAAGAAGGCAATGGCATTTGGAGAGATCAGAAGGGTGTAATGAACTGTTAAAATCTGGTCAAACAGAGGATCTGGTCACAGAGGATCTCTACCGAGAACAAATTATCCGTTTGAGCTGAATTACACGAAATTACACGAAAAATCAGAATATGAAATAAAACAGCATAAAATAATTTTGCTTCATAACAACTCGACACCTCATGTCACAAAACTTATCAAAGAAATGTTAGAAGCACTTTGCTGGGAAGTGCTATCCCATGCGACTTATTCACCAGACTGTGCCCCTTTCGACTACCACTTGTTTCGGTGGCACGTGGCATTTGTTGAGGAATGCTTCAATTCTTATGAAAACATCGAAGAATAATGGATCTCTGACTAGATAGTCTTCAAAGATGAAACATTCTTTTGCCGCGAAATTCGCTTGCTCCCGAAAGATGGGAAAAAGTCATCGCTAACGATGAACAATATTTTGAAATACTTTTTCATTTTGTTTCTAAATAAAATATATATATTTGCAAAAAAATAAACGGAACTTTCCGATTGACCTAATATATTACTTTTACAGATTTGGGAATTCTTTTCCAGAATACCGAAACAAACTAAAGTGCATTTTAAAATTAAAAATTGATGTTTTCGCGGAGCATTAATAAAATTTATTTATAAATTAGGTAGTGCTGCTATAATATCTCTCTTTCATGAAACTTTTAAAATGGTTACTTCTTTGATGCTATTTTTCTCAAAATTGTCATATGTTAGTCAAATTTTGTCAACGAATTCGTGTTCAGCAAGCAAAGATACATCGGAAATGATTATTCACATTCGTATTGCAAAATAATTTGGACAGTCTAATGTCCTCAATTGTCCATACTTGATCTACTTACTTGGAGCAATACTAGAGGCGGTTCTTGACCGAGGGCCGGTGAAACAACAAAATTAAAAACCTTTTGTCGCTCATTCTTCACATCCGTATCTTCGTGTTCGCCAATATCCGAATTTTCCATAATTTCCTCACGAATGGAATTGCCATCACGCTGTAAAAAAAAGACCTCATCTTATTACAAAAATACATTTCAGAGATATGTTTAATATGCTTTTAATAAATTTAATTAAAAATTTGCTATTCACTTATAACTGACTTCACTTAAATATATATTTTAAATTATATAAAAAAATTGTTTATCTACAATATTTATTTATTAAATAGGCAAAAAATGATACTATTTAGAAACAAAAATGTACTTGTACATATATATATGTCGTGCAAGACACTATTGAGTTTTTTCAATAACATAAATCATTTTTAGATTATAATTAAATGAAGAAATTTACAAATAAATTAAGAAAAGAAAGAAAATTATTTATAAAAAAATTAATGAATTAAAAAAACAAAGAAAACCAAAGAATTCGACATTTTTCTCCCTATAAGATCAAATGATTTGAATCATAACAAGATATAAATATGAATATAAAACAATGCTATGTAACTTTAAAATATATGTACGTATATAAAGAAAAAATAGGTACGAGTAGTAATAAAAATTTTAAGTGATAATGTTGAATTTGTGCTAACCAGAAAGTAGTGTTTAAACACATCGCTGACATTGCCGCCGCTTTTGTTGATGTCCAGTATGAGTAGTACTATAAACCAAACCGGACATTGTAGCAGCGCACCAAAAGCCAGCAATATAATCTCCATAGTAAGGTAATCAGACATGGCGAGATAGTGACAGGCAGCATTGATGGAGCACATCAAATGAACGCGGTCCACGTAGTACACCGCCGCATACGGCACGTACATGCTGTTCAATAAGGAAAAGGCCACGTGCAACGCGAACGAAGCTGTTCCACCTTGAGCAACAAATACGTAACAGGTAATTTTGATGGCATCAATTTCGATAAATTATATTAGAAAAAAAACAGCTTATAAAGCTTATAATTTCAGAGATAAGAGAAAAAAGTATATAAATAGTTCGGCAAATCGACAAGGCTGCAAGTTAGGATTTAACATTCAAAATCAAAGCTTATAGCTAAAGCTTACAGGTTTCAACAATAAAAGAAAAAAATATAAATAGTTTTATTCCATAACTAACATTGCAAATGAGATTAGACTTCAAAATAAAAAAGCTTGAAGAAGATGGCTTTCTATTATCATTTCACTGAAAAAAAATGATGAGATGATTTCAGTATATTGGTTTTACTATTTACCGAGTCCTTGCATATCAAGAATCATAACAAGGATGAATGGTAGCAATCCGAAGAAGGTCGCGATGTTCGGCAACATACTTTGCGCGGAATCCACTTTATCGAAGATGTAACTGAGACATGTAGAGAAGACGATAGACGATGGGCAGTAGAGCATGATAAGAATGCCAAGAGTGATGATGGCCGGTATTTCCCGTAGTGAAGGCACATCGAAGAGGAATATAATGCCGAGGATGCACAGGCAGATGAAAATCATCAGGCCGACTAGCACAATGAAGTAGCTAAAAAAGTACGTGGAGAACGACAGGCCATTCACGCGAAGCTGATTCTTCGCTTTGATCTGAAAAATATTTTTATATTGTATACAAAATTTCTGAAAAAAAAACATCACATTTAATTTTAACTTTATGTTTACTAAATCTAGAAACAAATGTACATATAATATATAATAGAAGTAAAATCTAAAATATCCACTTTGCTTAAAATTACTTAAAAGAAACTTTGAAGTTTGTTTAATTTTAAATAAAGGAGACTTTTAACATCAACAGATTTTTTTGTTTTAGCTTAATAAATATTATTAAGATATATGTTTAATGCTAAATATTATAATCCGTATAATGAGGTATAAGATTTAAGAGCAAAGCCCTTACTTCGCGATCGTTAACCATATCCACTGCTAAAGTAATCGGCAATATTATGAAAACCATGCCGAGAAAAATAGCACAGCTGGCTGCGCCAATATTGAACTGTTGGGGTTGCGACGTTTGCTGGAAAGGATGTGTATGAACTTCGATCGGCGTAGCTTCGTTCTTACCCGAGATCAATCTAGATAAAAATTTATAATTCGTAAAAATATTATTCAATTTGAGGCGCATACTTATCATCTAACTAAACTACAATCTCTTTTGTTTGTTTAAATTAAAAATGTTCCAAGAAATTAATTTATAGTTTCTACTATCCTACAATGTTAATTTCTTTATGACTTCATATTTTTAAAAATATTTTATAAAGAGGGTACCACTTGACACTACAAAGTATTTGCTTTAAAGTATTTGAACAAATTGAAAGAAAAAATTTTATGAATTGATCAATCAAAAAATGCTTCGAAGCATTAGTAGCATCAAATGGATTGTGGACAAAATGTAATATACCATATATTGAGCATCTTTTATTTTAAGGAATTTAAATCTTAAATATTTCATCTAAATATCTTAAATATTTCCTCTTTATTTTTTCCACATGATAGACTCACCTATAATAAGCGTTCGAAAGAATGTTTATCAATATCGGAAGAGAATGTTGCATCGTATCGTTGTATGTGACGGTCAGGTTGAGTCGCGGTAGATTATAATCATTAATGTTGAAGGCGGCTATATGTGGCGCGATATTCATTAAATTCGCGAAATTACCATCATATTCTTCAATGAGCTTCGTATCTTGAGTTATACTGTCTATCAACTTGGTAATGTCGTGGTCAGTATTATTTAAGTAGAGGATCTTGGTTTCGTTGTATGTATCTAAAAAATGGAAAGTATACTATAATGAATTTGATTTTTCAAAAATAGTAACTATTTTATATTAAAACAATATTAAAAATATCATATAATTCGTGTTCTATAAATTAAATTTTTTATTCACAACTTCATGAATCTGATTAATTCGTAGCAATCTTTAATTAAAATATAATATATAGGAACATTGTTCTTTATAGAACTGATTTGCAATTAATATACCATTTCAAAATTAACAAAAATTAATTGAATGTAAATAAAAAAGAAACTAAACTATTTTGCATAATTTTAATCACTTACGGCTATCGAGTTTTAGCGACTCCATCTTGACATCGACCGTTCGGATGCTGTTCAAATAGAGACCAAGCGCTACCAGAGCTAATGGCGTAACGATTGTGAAGTATAGCAGTTGGAGGTTCCTGAAGAGTCTGAGTACTCTTATACGTAACATGGCATAGAGTATTTGAAAGAAGTTAGGCCGAATCTTGATGGCATCTAGGCCGAGGCCAAGTACAGGTGGATTTCGATCATTATGGATGCCGTCCGGCAAATCGTTGGCTATAATTAATAAAATAATTCCATAATATCACTAACTAATGATTAAACAACATATACATATAGATATTTAATATTAATTAATGACTTATAGATAATTAACAAAAGAGTTTATTTATTTTAGGAAAAAACGAGAGAAGAAATGATTCACGTACCCTTCCCTTGACCGTCGCCCTGTACGATTACTCCCTCGTTCTGTAAGCTCTGGTATGACGTGCTCTTGGACTGCAATGAAAGTGATCGGCTGAGCGCGCGATTACGCACCATCTTCTTCGACAGATTGTCCATTGTGCACTCAGTCTCTTCGTCCTTTTCCAGATGCAAAAATACCTCTTCCAGAGTAGTCATCGACACACCATAACTGCTGATGCCAAGCCTACTCGAACGAGTCTTGATCTCATGCTCGATGGCGGAGAAAAGGGGTGCAAAATTTTCCACAGAGTTGTGAGGTAGAATAAAGCTCAGTTCCCGACCGTGACGTCTTGCCTTCTCCGCTTTACTCACATGTGATGTTACTAACCGGCTGATAGCATGTTCTCTGGCATTACCCTCCAGGACTAATCTGCAAAATAATACAAAATATAATATTCATTAAATGTTCGAAATTATTTTATTTTTGATGAAAAACTGTATATACTTTGCAATTCCTTATTCTTATTGATATAAGCTCTGATAAAATACAACACTGAATTTTTGTACTATCTCATGCTTTACTATAGAAAAAAAAAAAATCAAATAATTTCTACGTCATTTGTTAAAATACATATAATTGTAAAACAAGAAAATTCCTTTTTTGTAAGTTTTTCTTTAAATAAAAATTCTTAATTTAAAATTCAAAATTTAAGAATTTTTATTTTATAAAATTTTAATGAGTTTCCTGTCAATGTAATGCAAGAATAAATACTATAATAGTAGCATTCATACGTTAAATGGTATCCAATGCCGAATTTGTTCTTTAAAAACAGAGAACTGCCACAACATCTGAGCCTTCCCTTGCTGATTACTGCCTTCCTGTCGGCGAGAATATCCGCCTCGTCCATAAAGTGAGTTGTCAATAGAATCACTTTTCCGTGTCGTCTCGACTGGAGAAGGGACCACAACTGTCTTCTCGAATAAGGATCTACCCCCGCGGTAGGCTCGTCAAGGATAATAATTTTGGGATCGCCGATGATCGCGATTCCCACAGATAGTTTTCTCTTCTGTCCACCACTTAGATATCGTGCGAAAGTGTCCGCTTTCTCGACCAGATCAATGTCTTTCAGGGTTTTCTTCACCTGAAGATCAAATATGTCAATCTTTATCGATTTTTACTCTATTTTAAATAAATAAAAATATCGAGCTTCATTATTAATACAAACTATTATACAAAGTAATATATAAATCAGTATAATATAAATATAGAATAGAATACACGCGTATAAATAATTTTACTCTTTAAGTACCTCATGTCGTATCATCGAGCGTGGAATGCCACGAACCGCGGCGAAGAACTCCAGGTGCTCGCGCGGCGTCAGTAGATCGAAAAGAATATCATGTTGTGGACAGACTCCGGTCATGCTGCGTATTGCTCGCATGTCGTTAGAATCACGCACATCATAACCGAATATTAGAGCGGTGCCAGATGTAGGTGCGGTCAAGCCTGTAAGGATGTTGAAGAGTGTGGTCTTGCCGGCGCCGTTATGACCGAGGATGGCAGTGATTTGACCTTCGTAAATAGTCAGATTGATGCCATTCACCGCCTTAATCTCCGGTTGTCTGCACTTGTGGAATGATTTGTAGAGATCAGCTATCCTGATCGCTTCGCGGCCCTTCATCTCGCGCACCACCGGTTCCACGTCGCGATTCGCCTCCTCGCCCGGAATAAATGAATTTGATTCACCGTTTGACGATGGCACCTGTAAATATTTCTATGAAAACGACAATTGACACTCCTATAATTCATCAACAAATAATATCTTTATTATATGTATATACTTTTACTCATTAACCGTTGCAGTTAATAAAATTATTATTATTATCATTTTTATTATTAAAAAAGAAAAACTAACACACAAAACTTTTAATAATAATTTTAAATGATTTTTATACGTTTTTATAAAATCCGAACTTTTATGTTACTTCAAAATATTTCAATTAGTCCAATGTACAATAGAAAGTCCATTTCAGTAATTTAAAAATATATAGTTATCTAATATGTGTGTGTGTGTGTGTGTGTGTGTGTGTGTGTGTGTGTGTGTGTGTGTGTGTGGGTGTGCGTTTTTTGTGTGTGTGTGTGTGTGTGTGTGTGTGTGTGTGTGTGTGTGTGTGTGTGTGTGTAATATATTTCAATGAAAGATTTATAATTTTATTTATATTTTTTGTTATATACACTTAAGAACTCACCCTTTGAACCTTTTTTTGACACCAAAATCCAGGTAAAAAGCAAAACCAAGGTGGCCTCTTTGTTCCATGCTCACCTAGAAATTGATTTTTACATTAAATTTTATTTAGGTTTATCATATATGATCATTTACCATATACATATGTGTATATATTATATACATATATATTACAATATATAAGATAATTATAACGCATCATGACGTAAATAAATTATTGCTAAGAATTACTTAAATATAAAGGTGCTTTTTCATGACGCTCATTTTTAGCGTCAAAATAGGTAATCGAAATCATCGTTTGATCAATTCATCAATTTTTATCACTATTCCAACGCTAAAAATGAGAGTCGAGCATCAATTGAAAAGGCATCTTAAGAGTATTTTCGTACTTAACTTAAAACAAAATTTGAATTTTTCTAAGCAATTTTTTGCGATAAAAAAGAAACATACTTGGAATTACGGAGTCGAGATAATAGGCCAGATAGCCGTACAAAAAGATATCCAAAGTCATCATGATGAGACTGCCACCGAAAGGTATTCCTGGGCCGGACCAGAGATTGTCGAAATTTACTCCTTCACCTTGCAGATCCAATACCAGAGACTGGACAACACAGTGCCAAGCTTTTTAAAATACATGATCCAGCACAAACACCGAATGTAATTGCCATATAATATAAATGTAACATGTATTTACATATATGTTACATAGCAATTATATATTTATATACATTTGAGGTACTGTATAAGAAATCCACATTGTCAATTATGAAATATCTGCAAGTCTCTCCTTATTTAATCATTTATTAGTAAGCAATAAATGTTTCAAAACGTTTCTTGTTTACTGAGTAAGTAAAATATTTCATTAATAGTTTATTACAAAAAAAATTGTTTAATTGTTTCCAAAAAATAATAAAAATTACATTTTTTAATAATCTTTTTAATCTTTTTTTTTAAAGAAAATTAAATGAACTATCATTATTATTGCGAATTGTCTCAAAATTTAATAT